ATTTCAATTGAGAATGATATCTCATTCAATAATGAAATAAAGAATATTTTCTATCTTTGATTAGATACTAACAAAAAATTACCGTAAAATTTGACTATATCTTATTATAATATATTAACAAATATTTACTAAAGGAATGGGTGATACAAAATTATTATTTTCGTAATTCAATTATTATTTTTAAAAAGCTCAAGTCCAATAAAATAATAAAAATGTTTTAGTGTTATTTTAGGCCCAAAAAATAACTCGATGGCAAGAGATGTAAATAAATTGATTTATTAAGAGTAATATAGGCAAAACAAATCTTAAACTCACTCTGGAGACGACACGTAGGATTTTCGATCTCACAATTATAAGTATAGATAGATATAATTGTGGAGGCCAAAACCAACACAACTAGATTTGTTAGGGTTTCGTGAAGAGGTAGAGATTTCTAGGGTTAGCTAAGATCACAAAGGTATGAAAAAGTGTTTTGTTATTGCTCTGTAAGATTTTTTGAACAAGATTGCGAATGCCTCCACAAGGGCTTTTACATCAGGTATATATATTACATATAAATCGGCTATGCCTCCTAAGTCTTCGCGGAGTCACCTTTCCTTGAGTCGGCTGGTCCTCTGGGCTTCGTGACTGGACTGGGCTTTGGTTTGAGCCGTCTTCGGTCCGTTGGGTCATGGCTTGCGAAGACGTCTTCGGCCTGGAGTGTGCGAAGACGTCCTCTCCCGTAGTGACCGAAGACGTCTTCTCCCTTGTAGCAGCGAAGACGTTCTCTCTCGCGTAGCAGCGAGGACGTTCTCTCCCGCGTAGCAGCGACGACGTCCTCGGGTTAGGCTTTTGACATGATCATTCGCTTTGCTTCGCGTGAGGACTTTAGGCACCATTCTCAACGCCTTAGACGTTGAGAATCCCGAGGGTCATTTCTCCAGTTGTTGTTCTTTGAACGTTGACGTTGAGCGGGTGAAATTCAACCCCAACAATAATCTTAAAGTTTACTATACGAACATACTCCGTATTGCTATTTGAGTGTGGCATAGATAATTCTAGGCTAATCTTCACGTAAACGGTTTTGACGTTAGACGTTAATATTCCATCTACTAAATAGGCAATAGCGCTTAACATTTCATATAATCTTGGATAATACTCTTTTTTACATTTAAAAAAAAAATTCTCTTCCTGGATCCGCTCCATTTTTCAAAACCTTTTTGCATGATTATTTTCAGATAATGAGAAAAAAAAAATCTAAATAACAATGATAGATTTTGAAAGAAACTCTAGAAATAGAATAGTTTCTCTCAGTTTTATTAGTTAGTCAGTAGACATATTTATACAAAAATATAATTTGTCTATCAAGTTATTTACATATATGAAATAAGAAATCTAATTTATACACAAATATTAACTTTTCTAATATCTTCAATATTGAAAATCTTCTAAAAATCTTCTTTATTTGCATAATTCTTTGTTGGTCATCTTGACCGTTCAATCTCGATCGATTTCGACCTTTTGATTTTTCAATAAACAAGCTATCGTCTAAGTTCTTGGAAATCGTTGGAACTTGTAAGAGATGAGAAGTCATTGTAGACTAATAAAATATTCATTTTATGGTAAAAAAACTGCTCTAATAATCGGAAAATATACAACTCGTTACCGTTGGTAATAAACTAATAATATAACCGAATATTATGCAAATCTAATTGTCAAAGATCAGATGTTCGGCGTCATGCACATGCCACATGCTCAACAGCAAATGATTTACAAAACCTTTAAACATCAGGCCGTTCAGGCCCACCAGACCAAATGCTGTGCCGTTTCTTGGTTCGTCTCTGAATCAGCCTTGCGTACGTAGCTTTGTTACTCTTTCTCTCTCTCTAGCCACTAGCTTTTTTTTTTCTCTCTTCCAGAATAAATTCTCTTAAAAATATTGACCAAAAAGAAACAAATGAAGTGATAGGTTTATGCAGAAATTAAGATAAAAAATCGGATGTACGATGTAACCAAAAAAAAAAGAATTAAAGAAAATTTAAAGGGCTAATTATTTGACTTTGACCAAACACTTGACAGCCACCTCCTCTCTGTTTCCGTGTTCTTACCGAAAACCAGAGGAAAGTCCACTAAACCCCAAAAATAATTTAAAACATTTAAATTAATACCTTAAATAATTTTCACTCGTTAAAATAGTTATGTCAAAACTCTTGCGTGTATATATCAAAAATCTATCTTTAAATCCTCACAAACACCCATCTCTCTATCCTTCCTCTCGAAGAAAAGTTTATTGTGCTTTGAGAAATTAGTTTCCTGAAACTTCTCCAAAATCAAAGCTTGAGTTCCGGGTTTTTGCTTTTTAGCTCTTGTCTTTGTACTTCTGCAAGAAGATGGTGCAGTATCAGAGATTGATAATCCACCATGGAAGAAAAGAAGAGAGGTTCAGAGTTTCAGTAGAGGAAATTAATGGCTTGAAGAAAGCTAAACAAAAGTT